GTTGGCCAGGATGGTCTCGATTTCCTGACCTTGTGATCCACCCACCTCAGCCTCCCAAAGTGCTGGGATTACAGGCATTAGCCACCGCACCCAGCTAATTCTCAGACATTTCAACGGACTCTCATCACTTTCTATCAGCCAACAAGATTCTTTGTCTGCATATCCCAAAACCACATTATTTATTCTTTTCTCTTCCATTCACTTCCACGAAATTAAAACACATAGACAGATGCACTGAGAATTAGGAGCAATACATAGTGTCCTCAAGGAGTGTTGGCTTCCCTCTCTTCAAGTCAAGAAGAGAAGTGTGGCCATCCTTCTAAACCAATTCTGGCTGGCTGGGCACAGTGGCTCATACCTGTGATCCCAGAACTTTGGGAGGCCAAGGTGGAAGGATCACTTAGTGATCAAGAGTTCGAGACCAGCCTGGCCAACATGGTGAAACCCCATCTCTACTAAAAATACAAAAATTTGCCAGATGTGGTGGTGCACATCTGAAGGCCCAGCTACTTGGGAGGCCGAGCCTGGAGAATCGCTTAAACCCAGGAGGTGGAGGTTGCAGAGCACCAAGATCGTGCCATTCCATTCCAGCCTGGGGGACAGAGCAAGACCCTGTCTCAAAAAATAACTAAATAAGCCGATTCTGGGAAAATAGGCACCAGCAACTGCTCACACTGAAAATAGGGATTGCATCCTTTTTCTACCTTGTTTTTTCAAAACTCCTGTTAGCCCTGCTTAACAGGAGTTCAGGAAAAATCAGAAATGATGAATTGTAATGAGACTGAGCAGGAAGAGACAGAATTAAATGAATCATATATGAAAGCACTTTGAAAACTGCAAAGCCCTATAGAAATGAAAATGTAGTGGCTAAACTCAGGACACCTTAAAACAGCTCTGTATTAAAAGTGGCAGAGGAACCAGGTACTGTGGCTCACGCCTGTAGTCCCAGCACTTTGGGAGACCAAGGAGGGCAAATCAAGAGTCAGGGCGATCAGGAGTTCGAGACCAGCCTGACCAACATGGTCAAGTGCCATCTCTACTAAAAATACAAAAATTAGCCGAGCCTGGTGGTGTATGCCTGTATTCCCAGCTATTTGGGAGACTGAGGGATGAGAATCACTTGAACCCGGGAGGCAGAGGCTGCAGTGAGCCGAGATTTTGCCACTGCACTCCAGCCTGGGAGACAGAGCAAACTTGTCTCAAAAAGAAGAAAGAAAGAATTTAATAGACAGGAGGCCACCCACGCCGTGTGGGAGACAGAGTTATTACTCAAATCAATCTCTTGGAGAATTCAGGGACTAGTGTTTTCCAAAGATAGTTTGGGGAAGGGATGGCATGGCTAAGCAATGGGTTCTTGCTGCTTACTGGCTGGGGATGCAGTCATTGGGGTGTGGGAAATTGTCCTCAAGCAGGTCAATAGCTTCTGTGTGGGACCACAGAAGCGGTTAGAGCTTCAGGTGGAACCATTGGTAGTCAGACATGCAAAATACCTGAAAAGATATCTCAAAATGCCAATCTTAGGGTCTACAATAGTGATGTTATCTGGAAGAGTAATTGGAAAAGTTGCGTACCTTGTGACCTCTGGGATAATGACTGGCCACGGTTTATGTCTACACCTTAGCAGAATTCAGCCTCCTTTATCCTTCTACCCTGGTGATTTCTTATTAGCTTTACAAAGGCGGTTGGCTTTTGGGGAAGGGTTATTATCATTTAAACTATAAACTAAATATCTCCCAAAGTTACACTGACTGGCCCAAGCCCAGGAATAATTAAGGGCAGCTTGAAGGCTAAAAGCAAAATAGGGGTTAGCTAGATCAGATCTCTCCCGCTGCCGTAATTTTCTCACTGTTACAATTTTTGCAAAGGCGATTCCAAGATAATCTTTAAAGAATGGGGTGGGTTGAGGGAAGGGCCTTCCAGGGCGAGTGAACAGCAAATACAGAGGGCTTGCCTGAGGAATAACAGGTTCAGCGCGCCAGCGGCTGGGCAGAGGGACACACCAGGACCAGTGACCTGGTGCCCAGTCCACATAACCTTGTTTACCATTGTAAAAAGTAAAATAGAGGTTCCTCCTCAAAGACTTTCCTCCCCATCTAATTAGGAATAAATAGTAACCTCTCTTAAAAGCAAAATTTATTCAAAGACCTGTGCTAACATTCTTAAATATCTGCTAGCTATAATAAAATAAACGTACTTTATGTTCTTAGCTCCCACAATTTAGCCTAAATATTTGCCCTGGCATGCTTATACTAGTCCAAGCAAGCATTAGGTCATAGCCTGTTCCTCTTCCTTATTTAAAAGTGTTTTTATCTTTCTCCACATTCCACAAGGTATTTCTTCCTTCCTTTGTTCTCCTCTACCTTTGCCTCTTTTAAAAAGTTCCAAGTTGCTAGCCAATCCCGAGGAATACAAAATGTGAGGTCCTGTTCCAGCCAATAAAAACCAGCCACAGCAGTAAGGTAAACACCTCAGCTTATAAATGACCCTGTCTCCTTTGTTCAGTGTACTCTCCGGGCAAAACTGCTGGTGGGTGTACCCTTTCTGCAGAAAGTAAAAATGGCCTTACTCAATAAATTAAATTTATGTTCAAGTGCTATTTCTTTATGACACCGAAAAACAAACATTTCAAACACCATGCTGAGAACTCAGTCCTTGTTTTGGGGAGGGGTGCACTTGGAAGATTCCAGCTAAGGTACAATCGTCCCTCGGTATCTGCCGGTCATTGTTTTCAGCACCCCCACAGATACCAACATGGGCCATGCTCGAGCCCCTTATATTATGTGGTGGTGCACAGTGCGTCCTTCCCATCCGCAGGTTTGGCATCTGTGGATAGGGAGTGGATACAGAGGGCGGACTATACCGCTTGAAAGGCTTCCCTGGAAGCAATATGTAGAGTGGGTAGCGGAGGAGCAAGAATGCAAGCAGAGAGGCTTGTCCAGAGCATACAGGCGAAGGATGTACGGCCAAGGGGGGAATCCCAGACGACCGCGATTCGTGACATATTTTTGTTTGCACGAAAATAAAGTTTGAAAGAAAAGTGTTGGGGGAACAAGGGATTCATTTTCCCGCGGTAGTTGAAATGCAATGGCTACGCCTCAAGCCGCTGCAACATGCTGGCCTCCGTGCGGGGGCGCCCAAACAGGCGCGCCGCCGGGCCTTCCGGCCGCATCGCCGGAAGTGCTCTCCTGACCCTCCGCCGCGCAGCTCATCGCACCGGAGGAAGATGGCGTTGGAGGTCGGCGACATGGAAGATGGGCAGCTTTCCGACTCGGATTCCGACATGACGGTCGCACCCAGCGACAGGACGCTGCAATTGCCGGTGAGTGTGAAAGGAGGGTGGGTTATCGTGGCTGGGCGCGCCGAGCCTGGGCCGCAGGAAGCGCGCAGGCAGCGGTGAGGGTGAGGGGTGAGAGCTAGGAGCCCGGTCCGGACCGGGCTGCTGGGTCAGTGGCGGCAGAAAGGGCGAGCAGGCGTCCCCCGGGCGGGCTCACGGAGCCCGGGCTGCAGGGGCCGGCAGCGAGGGGCGGAGGCGGCGGCGGCGGCTGGGTGTGCGAGCCCCAACCTGGCGGCTCCCTGCGAGGCCGGGCGCGCGAGCCCTGGCGCCTCCTGGAGGCTGGCTTGGCGGCTGTCTCTTGGCGGTCTCACCTCCACCTACCGCTCTTTGTTTTTTTCTAAACTTAGGGCTTCCTCACTCCAGCGCCGCTAGGTGACCATTAAGGGGCAGATTTTGCCAGATGTATAGCATCTGGGGACATCGGCCTGAAACGGCCTGTGGTGCTCCTTTTCTCCCTGAGACGGAGACTGAGGCCCAGGAATGAAGTTTATCAGAGTTCACTTAAAGAGCTGGTTTTCCTTGTTTCCACCGAACCTAGCTTTGTCATGCGGTACCATGGCACTAGGTTTTTGTGCTAGCTTCTCTGGTTTTGTTTGTTGTTTTAAGACAGAGTCTCACTCTGTCACCCAGGCTGGAGTGCAGTGGCGCAGTCTTGGCTCACTGCAACCTCCGCCTCCCGGGTGCAAGCGATTCTCCTGCCTCAGCCTGCCGAGGAGCTGGGATTACAAGGGCCTGCGGCCACGCCCGGCTAATTTTTATATTTTTGGTAGACACGGAGTTTCACCATGTTGGCCAGGCTGGTCTCGAACTCCTGCCTCAAGTGATCCACCCGTCTTGGGCTCCTGAAGTGCGGGAATTACAGGCGTGAGCCACCGCGCCCAGCCTAGTTTTTGTATTTTTATTAGAGACCGGGGTTCTCCATGTTGGCCAGGCTGGTCTTGAACTCCTGACCTCAAGTGATCCACCTGCCTCGGCCTCCCAAAGTGCTGTGATGAGAGGCGCGAGCCACCGCGCCGGGCCCAGCTTCCCTGCTTTCTAAACGGTAATTTGTCTTGACTGCCTTAGTAGGTAGCAACCTCTTTGAGGGGGCTTTGGTGCCAGATTGCCTGTGTTCAGATCCTGGGGCCACCGATGTGTGACCTACAGCAGGTTTATTTAGCCTCACTGCTTTTTGTCTCCATCTATGGAATTGGCATGATGTATCACTGATAGGGTTATTGCAAGGATTCTGTGGAGCATACAGTGCGCGGTAATGCCTGAAAAGTGTTATCTCTGATCATTATTTGAAGATAGTGGGAGATAGATCCTCCCTACTTGCATTTCCAGCGTAGTAGGAGTTTTAACAAATACAAATACTTGCTTTTGCATATAAATGTTTAGGAAATTAGTACCAAGATATTTTGTTTTTCAATCTCAGGTTGTTTTTACATAAATTGACCCATGACTTGGTAAATAAACTTAATGCTGTGGACTGTGGGGTTTTAAAAATATGCCCAGGCCAGGTGCGGTGGCTCACGCCCGTAATCCCAGCACTTTGGGAGGCCGAGGCAGGTGGATCACGAGGTCAGGAGATTGAGACCGTCCTGGCTAACACAGTGAAACCCCGTCTCTACTAAAAATACAAAAAAATTAGCCGGGCGTGGTGGCAGGCGCCTGTAGTCCCAGCTACTCGGGAGGCTGAGGCAGGAGAATGGCCTGAACCCGGGAGACAAAGCTTGCAGTGAGCCAAGATCGCACCACTGCACTCCAGCCTGGGTGACAGTGCGAGACGCCCTCTAAAAAAAAAAAAAAAAAAATCATGCCCAGCCTAGGCAATATGGCAAAACCCCATGTCTACAAAAAATGCAAAACAAAAAATATTAGCTGGTTATGGTGAGGGTTGCCTGTAGTCGCAGTCCCTCAGGAGGCTGAGGTAGGAGGATTGCTTGAACCTGGGAGGTTGAGGCTGCGGTGAGCCATGATTGCTCCGCTGCACTCCAGCCTGGGCCACAGAACAAAACTTTGTCTCAAAAAAAAAAAGTAACAATTATTATGTATGTCATTTTAAAACATTCTGACAATAACTGAAAAGTTTGAAATCTTTTAAAGGTGACAAGAACTTTGGTAATATAGTAAAAGGATATCTTAGAACAAAGTGCTGCATTAGTTGTAAAGATAAGAATTTGTGGCTTTTAAATTGGCGAATTCCATGTGGAACTTAGAAAAATAAGGATTTGATTGGTCTCAGACTTGTCTTTGAAGATCAGTTCCTTTTGGAATGGCGCAGTTGAATCTCTAAATTTTTAAAAATTAGGTAGGTGGAGTTTATGTGTTTTGTGAAATGGATTGTGTTTCTTTTCACTTGCAGAAAGTGCTAGGTGGCGACAGTGCTATGAGGGCCTTCCAGAACACAGCAACGACATGTGCGCCAGTATCACATTATCGAGCTGTTGAAAGCGTGGATTCGAGTGAAGAGAGTTTTTCTGATTCAGATGATGATAGCTGTCTTTGGAAACGCAAACGACAGAAATGTTTTAACCCTCCTCCCAAACCAGAGCCTTTTCAGTTTGGCCAGAGCAGTCAGAAACTACCTGTTGCTGGAGGAAAGAAGATTAACAACATATGGGGTGCTGTGCTGCAGGAACAGAATCAAGATGCAGTGGCCACTGAACTTGGTATCTTGGGAATGGAGGGCACTATTGACAGAAGCAGGCAGTCCGAGACCTACAATTATTTGCTTGCTAAGAAACTTAGGAGGGAATCTCAAGAGCATACAAAAGATCTAGACAAGGAACTAGATGAATATATGCACGGTGGCAAAAAAATGGAATCAAAGGAAGAGGAAAATGGGCAAGGTCATCTCAAAAGGAAACGACCTGTCAAAGACAGGCTGGGGAACAGACCAGAAATGAACTATAAAGGTCGATATGAGATCACAGAGGAAGATTCTCAAGAGAAAGTGGCTGATGAAATTTCATTCAGGTGAGCATTTCAATTACAAATAAGTACTTGACCAGATGGCTTCTATTTACAGGAAATAAAATAAATGCCAAATACTTTAATGATATGTTCCCCTTTTTTTTTTTTTTTGAGATTTTTTTTTTTCTTTTTCTTTTTCCTTTTTTAATT